GCCCTGGGCTCCCCGGGTCTGGGCACTGAGTGTGGGCCCTGGGGACAGAAAGCCAGGCTCAGAGTGCATCCAGAATCGCACACTGGGGGTCAGACCATGAGCTGGACAGCATTCAGGGCTATACCCACGGCTCCCTCATCCGGGGACCACTCCCAGCCTCTAGCCTGGGAGGACAGCTCCTGCCGATGGTTGTTGAGAGCTGCTTCTAGGAAACCCCTCCTGAGTCCTTGCCCTGTTGTCTAAAGTTGGTTTGTGCCAGTGAAGAGAAGCCCCCTCTGGAATGACCTCCTGTTGTCCAGCCCAAGGAAGATCCAGGCCAGGGGGATAGGATTTAGCCCGGGAATCAGGGGCCCAGGGTCATGGTTTGGGGATTATCCTAAAAGGCACTGCCCCTGCATATGACAGCACAGGTTGGGTCTACACCAGCTCATAGTGTTGCCAGGCAAGTGGGGCTGAAGTCTGGCTCCAATTAGCACTGCTGGGGGCCCTGGAGGAGGGTGGTGTCCACCTACAGGAAACAGCCTCTTTTTCTGAAACATCATAGGGCACCATATGAGCCGGCAGTGGCCCTGATGACAGCAGTCACGAAAGGCTAGGCTTCAGGGGAGGTTTAAAGCTGGCCTGGGGCTCCCGGGCCTGTCCCTCTTTGAACAAAAGAGCTGAAGTGAGGTGGTCTCTTGTCCAGAGCCACGCCCCTCTGGTCTTGCCCACGAGAAGCGGGGAAGGAAGAAGACGGAGCTGGTCATAGGCTGGCCACCCCTTTGAGAGGCTGGCCCTCGACTCTGAGGGGCTTCTAGTGCTTTGCTCAAGAGGTGTCAACAGAGCTGGGGAGGAGGGCGCCAGCTGGTTCTATGGGTAGAGCATGGGACTCTCAATCTCAGGGTTGTGAGTCTGAGCCCTAAGTCGGGTGTAGAGTTTACCTAAGAAAAAAAAAAGAGGGGCGCCTGGGTGGCTCAGGGTGTTGATCATCCGACTCTTGGTTTTGGCTCAGGTCATGATCTTGCAGATCGTGGGCTCGAACCCCACATAGGGCTCCTCGCTGATAGCGCAGAGCCTTCTTGGGATTCTCTTTCTCCTTCTCTCCCTTTGCCCCTCCCCCCACTCATGCTCTGTCTCCCTCTCATACTCTCTCTCAAAATAAATAAATAAACATTAAAAAAAAAAAAAAGTATCCAGGGAGAACCACACCACTACCCTCTGGGGTCTCCGTGTTCACTTTTCATTCTCCCAGACCTCTCCCAGGTCCAGATTTATCCCCCCAGATGCCCGCTGTCGATTATGCCCAAATTCCCTCTCAGGGCCATTGGTTCACCAGACACACATCTGCCGGTCCGCACCTGGCAAGCCATTGCTGAGACTGACCTCTGGCTGGCGGCGGGGGGAGGTGGGGGGTGGGGGGGTGATTCCAGGCCCTAGTGCTGTGAAGTCACCTGCCCTGGACACCAAGGGGGAAGGAGGCAGGAAGGAGAAGTTCAGGCAGCCCAGCAGAGCCCCTGGGTGGATATCAGACTGGAACCTTCTGGGACGCCCACTTCCCAACGCCGGGGCAGCCAGGGTTGGGCACTGAGGCCTCTCCACAGCCACCTGAGGCCGTGTAAGGACCTGACCTGGCCTGGCCTGGCCCGGAGGTCAGATTCCTCGCTGAGGAGCTGCAGGCGCAAGGAGAGGCGGCCAGTCGCGGCGGGAGGACTCCTTTGTTCCAGGCATTTTCTCAACGGTGGGGCTGGGCTGCCTGCCAGGTGCCAGGGCGCGGCTCTGGCCTCCCGCCCCGCCGGCAGATTTGCCGCCAAGCCCGGTACCTGGCTCAGAGGCTCCTTCCCGCGCTTTCTCTGCCAGGCCCGGCAAGTAAGAGGCCTCTTGGCCCACCCAGCCTCGCTGCAGGAGAAGGGACTGGCCCAGGCCTCCTCGTGTGCTTGGAATTTAGAACTACGTTCTTCCAGGACAACAGGTTCAAAACATAAAGATACAAACTTTCGCTCAACAGAATAAGACAAAACTGCACGGCTGCACATAGGCCCTGTCTGGGTTTGAATCCCAGAGCCCCGTCACTCACTAGCTCTGTGAACTAAGTTGCTGAACCTCTCTGTGCCTGTTTCTTCATCCGAAAACTAAGGACGATGGTTGTACCTACCTGATAGGAATGTTATGAGGATTTAACAAGTGATTACACGTTAGGCTCTCAGAATAGAGTCCGGGCCATTGTAAGCACTGTTCACATATGTGCTGTGATCGCGGCAGTGACATCGATGAGCATAATGTTAGTCAAGGCTCTTGGCTGCACAGAACAGAAACCACTCAGGCAAGCTTAAGCAAGAAAAGAGTTGAATACGAGTCTTCAGAGGCATCACCTGGAACCAAACAGTAGGGGGCAACCAGGCCTCAACGGCAATGAGAACCAACGATCTTAAAAGTCATTGAGCAGCCAGAAGCTTCTCTGCCTCTCTTAGCCTCACCATGGCCCACTTCTCCGAACACATGGCCAAACATGGCTAGGAGTCAGTCTCCAGGTCAGGTGATCAGCAGCAAGGGACTGGCATCTCTGATCCCATTGCTCTCTTTGGGTCATGTACCAAGAGTCCATCAGCTATGGCTGAGGGCAATGTCAGGGACCCAGTCCTATGGGCATTCCAGTGCCCAGAGACAGCAGCATGGGCCAGACAGAGCATCTGTCTACTCCAAAGGCGCTCTGGAGTGGGGGTGAGAGTCACAACACGTGTGCACCAGGCCTGCCGTTGCCTCAGAAAATCATGTACATCTCTGTACCTTTTCTCTCTTCTGTTCACCGAGCGCTTCCTACAGGCCGGCATCACAGCACTGAGGATGTGTTATGATTATTTGTTTATGAATCTGTCTCCTTTTACTAGATTATGATTTTCATTCATTCTTTCGGTGTAATAGATATCTACCAAGCACCAGCCACGTGTTAGGGACACAGAGACAAATCCAACAATGTTTGCTGCCCTCCCAGAGGCTCGTCTATGCCCCAGAGACCTATAGTTCCACGAAACAGGTCAGCCTCATTGTCCAGTTCCTCCCAAGTTCAGGTTCTGGGGACTTTCTTTCCTACACTATTGATACCCAGTGTCAAGATCCTACCCTTCAGGGCGCCCGGCTGGCTCAGTGGGTAGACTTTGCAACTCTAGATCTTGCAGTTGTGAGTTTGAGACTCACGTTGGACCTAGAGCTTACTAGAAAGAGAGAGAGAGAGAGAGAGATTCTGCTTTTCATTGTATGAGGCTTGCAAGGTTCCTGAGCTCTTATGAAAAGCAGGTGTCCCCAGGAAAAGGCTTATTTAGAACGTGGCACGGGTGGGCACCATTTCTGCTGGGTGATTCAGGGGCGACAACAGGCAGCTGACACAGAAAGGACCTCACCAGCAAGTGAGGAGCGGAACAGTGACTGTGGCCCCTCAGCACAGGTGATGGCTGTGCTGACGAGGGGGGGCCATGGATGGACACCATGCTGGCTTGGCTGCCACAATGCCACCCAGCTCTGCTGTTGGGCAGTCTGTTGATGCTGACTCTGCTCCTCTTTGGTCTCCAAGTTCAACTCCTGTCTCCGCTCCCTCCGTGGGCAACCCCTAACCAGCCTTCCCATGAGCTGGATGGGCCAGACACCCCTCTTCACTCTTTTAGTCCACTGCCAAGGCATGCATTTTACACCTGCTCCCTTTAGGACCACCTCTTCGGGCTTCTCAAACTCGCTTCTCTCCATCAAGCCCAATGCTCGGCTTTCACAACTATTCATGTGCGGGGCACCTGGGTGGCTCAGTCAGTGAAGCATAGGGCTCTTGATTTCAGCTCAGGTCATGATCTCACGGTTCGTGAGTTTGAGCCCCTCACTGGGCTCTTCACTGAGAGCAAGGAGCCTGCTTGGGATCTTGTCTCCCTCTCTCTCTCTCTGCCCCTCCTCCACTCATTCTCCCTCTCTCAAAAATAAATAAATAAATATTTTTTAAAAATACATAAAAAAACTACTCGTGTGGGTATCCACATTGAAGCCTACTTTGGAAGTTGAAAAATGAAACATAGTCTTTTCCTTTCTCCTTGCATTCATGTTATAAGGACTCATCCATTTTTTTTTTTTGATGTTTATTTATTTACTTTTGAAAGGGAGGGAAGCAGAGAGAGAGGGAGACAAAGAACCCCAAGCAGGCTCTGCACTGTCAGCGCAGAGCCCGATGTGGGGCTCGAACTCACGCACCATGAGATCATGACCTGAGCTGAAATTGAGTCAGCTGCTTAACTGAGCCATCAGGTGCCCCGATAAGGACTAATACTTAAGGCGATGTGAATGCCTCTGCCTGACTAGGGGGAGGGTCACATACAAGGGAGTGCGGAAAAGAAAAACATAAATATTAGTATTTCAGGATGTTTCCTTCTACACACATCATGAAATGATTGTAAATATGTGATAGGGCCTCTTGTTCAGGTCACAGAGTTCCCAGAATCCCAGCATGAGGTGGGAGGAGACAGCAGGGAGGCCTGTGCACAGGAGGTGATACTGAGGTGAACCTTGAAGAGATGGGGAAGAAGTTCCAGGGAAACAGTGTTGTGGGGAGAGTGTTCCACACAGCGTCGATAGGACTGAGAACGTAGAACGGTGGAGGACTCGCTTTGTGCCAAGCACTGTTCTAATAAGTTCTTTATTTATCTATTTTTAAACATTTTGTCTTTAACCAATCTCTACACCCAACATGGGGCTCGAACTCATGACCCCAAGATCAAGAGTCGCATGCTCTACTGACTGAACCAGTCAGGTGCTCTCTAGTAAGTACTTTAAGTACTTTAATTAATTTAATCAATGCGATCATCACAACAATCTTTGAGGGCCAAAGTTTTTTTTTTTTTTTTTAATGTTTTTATTTAATGTTTTATTTTTGAGAGAGAAGGGAGGGGGAGGGGCGGAGAGAAGGGGACAGAGGATCTGGGCTCTGTGCTGACAGTAGACAGCCTGATGCAGGGCTCCAACTCACGAACCATGAGATCATGACCTGAGCTGAAGTCGGACGCTTAACTGACTGAGTCCCCCAGGTGCCCCTTTGAGGGCCAAAGTTTCAAAAAAGATAAAACTGAGGCACGGAACGGTTAAGTTACTGGCCCAAGAATCCATATTTGGCAACGGGTAGGGCTGGGATTCAAGGCTGAGAAGTATGACTTCAGAAGGTCGATAACTCACATCGTTCTGTCTTGAGAAATTCACAGTTGCTTTGTCATGGCTCGTGGGAGATTTGGCTGAAAGCGTGGGCAGAAGAAAGACCACAGAAGACCTTGTATCCATCTCAGGAGCTGAGACTTTATCCTGAGAGTGACAGGGGAGTCTGTAGAAACTTTTAACCAGGAAGGGACAAAGAAGATGCAGTTAGAAGCATAATGGATTGGAAGGGGGCAGGACCAGAGGCAGAGAACCCACTGCCCCCAATCTGGGTCATGCACCAAGAGCAAATCAACTCAGAGGTCATTTTAACAGCCCCCTTGGCTGAGAGACAAAGTGATCTGAACAGCGGCAATTAGAACAGTTGGGTCCCAGGAATGTTGGGTGCTTAGGATGGTGTGTAAGACATCCACACGCTAATGACTGGAGTCTGTGAATGTCACCTTATTTGGATGATCTTGGGTTATCTGGGCGGGCCCTATGTAGATCACAAGGGTCCTTTTTAGAGGAGGGTAGATCAAGGTCACAGGAGGAAAGCAAGGTGAGAGGAAAGCGTTGTGCACCGAAATGGTGCAGCTATGCACCGAGGAATGAGATCGGCCTCTGGAGGCTGAGACGGGACAGATTTTCCCTTAGAACTTCCAGAAGGAACCAGCCCTGCTGACATCTTGATTTTAGCCTCACAAAACTCAGGGTGCCCGGGTTGTTCAGTCTACATTAAGCGTTTGACTCTTGGTTTCGGTCAGATCATGATCTCAGGGTTTTGAGTTTGAGCCCTGCGTTGGGTTCTGCCCTGACGGCACAGAGCCTGCTTGGGATTTTCTCTTTCCCTCCCCCTCTTTCCCCCTCCCTCTCAAAATAAATAAATAAACTTTAAAGAAAAAAACTCATTTCAAACTTCCGACCTCCACAATTGTCAGATGGTAAATGTGTGTTGTTTTAAGCCACTAAATGTGTAGTTATTTATTATATCAGCAGTAGGAAATAAATACAGATGATAAAACCTGGTGACCAGGTGATTACTGTGGGGTGTCCCAATCGGATGGGGAGGCCACCAAATGTGGGGTGCCCTGATCGGGTGGAGGCCAGGGCCTACATGCTTTAAGAATTCGCCCAAGGCAAGGGGGCCTTGGGTAACGCAGTCAGTTAAGTGTCTGACTTCAGCTCAGGTCATGATGTCAGGGCTCGCGAGTTCGAGCCCTGCATAGGGCTCTGTGCCGACAGCTGCAAGCCCAGAGCTTGCTTCGGATTCTGTGTCTCCCTCTCTCTCTGCCCCTCCTCTGCTTGTGCTTTCTCTCTCTCTTGAAAATAAATAAACATTAAAAAAAAAAAAAAAAAGAATTCACCCAAGGCAGAACAAAAGAGATAAAAGTTTAGTGAATACACCACAAGGAAGCAGCGGGCAGGACAGCAAAGGAGAGACGGTCTACAATGAGGTGGTGTTGAAGGGCCACAGTTATAGGGCCAAGTGAAGCACTATGGGATTTTTCTCTTTTTCCAGTAATCTTAGGAACTGTGCCTGGTTATAACTGGTTAGTTAGGGCCTATGGCTATTTCTAGTCGGATCACTTAACGAGACTCTTTGCATTCAGCCTAGTGGCTGTGGGCCCTTTTGCCTGGCTCTACAGTTTGAAAAGAAGGAAAGGGAAAGGTCACAGAAAGGGTGGAGGATGCTGGCCAGGATCTTGGCTTGGGGAATGGGGCTGGTGGCGAGACCGTTACAATCAGCACCGGGAACAGAGAGGGAAGGGCAGTTTGGGGAGTGGCGGGAGAAGGAAGAAGGAAGAAGGCTAGTTCAGCCTCGCACGTGCTGAGTTTTAAAGTGCCCGTGGGACACCCTGGTGCGATGTGCAGGGGGAAGGCCCAGAGCCTCGGACAGAGCGGAGAGCCATCTGTGTGCACACGCTCTGGTCTGAGACGTGGGCTTATTTTTCCAGTTCATTGTCTGGGGGGGAGGGGGGAGGGGGGAATGAAAGTCCTTCCTGCTCCTGTCCTCACATCCTCCTCACACCCCAATTTGGATGGGTGGCAGACTTACTCCAGATAGGAGAAGTCAAATCGACTCTTCCAGGGAGTGCCTGACGTGCCCTGAGTTGCTTCTGGGTGAGTTCTGTTGGCTCCTGATGGGCCCCCCACCCCCGTCCCACTGTCCATTTGAAGATGCAGTGTAGTGTCTCAGCCAGTTTCACTCGAGGTACACCTGTGGACAGCACCAATGTGTTTCTGACAGTGACAGAAATATCTCAGTGGCGTTTCCCATGGGTCAAACTAAACGTGCAAACCCTGAGCACAAAGTACACAGGGTGGAAATCACATATCTGTTAAAAAAAAAAAAAAAAAAAAAAAGCCTGTTCATCCTGCAGAACAGGCGTGAGCTAAGGCCTCTGAGAAGGTGAGATCATTCAGGGAGGGCTTGTGGCCTGAGAGAGGAGGGCCAGGGGCACCAACTTCCAGAGAATGGACTGGAGAAGGGCAGGGGGAACCCTGACGTACTTACCTTCTATGCCCCAGAGCGGCAACTCAGAGGATGCTTGATGAATGGGTTACTGTGGGTTTTATCCTCTACAGGCTATACAAAAGGAAAGAAAGAACGCGGGAAAATGTGTATACCAAAACAAACAGCCAGATACATGTTTAGTATCTGAATAACTGAGTTAAGTGGAAAACTAGAGTCCAGTCAGAAGCATATATTGTAAACAATGCATGGGGGCGCCTGGGTGGCGCAGTCGGTTAAGCGTCCGACTTCAGCCAGGTCACGATCTCGCGCTCCGTGAGTTCGAGCCCCGCGTCAGGCTCTGGGCTGATGGCTCAGAGCCTGGAGCCTGTTTCCGATTCTGTGTCTCCCTCTCTCTCTGCCCCTCCCCCGTTCATGCTCTGTCTCTCTCTGTCCCAAAAATAAATAAACGTTGAAAAAAAAATTTTTTTTTAAAAATTAAAAAAAAAACAAAAAACAATGTATGAAGTTATCTCAGGAAAATGTTGGATCTTACCAGTGAGTAAAATAAAAGCAAATTCAGTTACCTTAAGATAACATTATAGGCCCAAAACACTAGAAAAAACAGAAGCAGGCAAAAAAAAAAAAAAAAAAAAAAGCCCTGAGCTGGTGAGGCAGTGAGACGCGAGGGCGCCCCAAGTCACAAATAGAGTAAAAAACAGGCAGGAGTTTTATCATCGCGCTCACCCTGGAACGGAGGGTCCTTGAGTTGCACGTAAAAGAAATCCACGCAAGCAAAAATAAAACCCCTGCGTTATGAAGGCGACGGAGATCCCCAGGAACCCCAGCAGGCACCTTAGGCCTCGGGAGGATCAGAAAACCAGGAACCAAGCCAGGAACCCGCAAGTCAGCAGGAACATTCTTTCTCTTTCTCCGGCTGGGTTTCCCTCCTGCACCTGCACCTTTTCTGCTTCTCGTGCACATCTTCCTGGTCATGCACCCAATCATACGACAAATATTTATTTTGTGGACGTGCCCAAACATTACATTTTTGTGTTCAAGGGTACCCAGCAAAGACTTGAGTTGCTGTTTGCAATTCTCAGGAGGAGTCCGATTGGCCCAGCCTCGGGTCCCCCCACTGGACTCTTTCTTACCACGAAGCGTGTTGGAATCTCTGATCTTTTTTTTTCCCACAAGAGGATCCTTCATCTCCATGTAGATTAGCGAATGTGATTAGGTAAACTGGGGAAGGGATGCCCCTGTGTAGAGAGACAGCTCGCATTAACCATTAACCTACCCCAAACTTCTGAGCTCCGGGCCTTGCTTCCAGCTAGAACATCCCTTTAAACTTTCCTGCTTCCTCATTCCACTTCCTTATCACCTTACAGTCTATTCTCTGCATAACAGCCGTACTTTTCTTTTAGCATGTAGATCCCACTATATTCTTACCCTGCTAAAAACAGGCACACACACACACACACACACACACACACACACAACACAAAGCCTAAAACACCACCACCACCACCACCACAAAACCCTCTTCAATTCCTTCCAGTTGCAATTAGAATAAAATCCCAATTCCTTGGGGCGCCCGGGTGGCTCAGTCGGTTGAGCATCGGACTTTGGCTCAGGTCATGATCTCACGGCTTGTGAGTTCGAGCCCCGAGTCGGGCTCTGGGCTGACAGCTTGGAGCCTGGAGCCTGCCAGATTCTGGGTCTCCCTCTCTCTGCCCCTCCCCTGTTCACACTCTGCTTCTGTGTCTCTCAAAAATAAACATTAAAAAAAAAATTTTTTTTTTAACTCCCAATTCCTTATTCTGGCCTACCAGGCCTTACCTGATCTAACCCCTGGCTAATTCTCTATCTTTTACACATGTCTCCCTCGTTCATTCTGCTATAGCTACAATGGCCTTCTTGCTAGTCTTCCAATATGCCAAATTCGCTCCCACCTCAGGACCTTTGCACTTGTTGTTCCCTCTGTCCCATATTTTTCCAAAGCTAACTCCACAACATTCTAGACTCAGGTGATGTCATCTCTTTAGAGAGTCTTCCCCAATCGTCCCACCTAGAGTAGCAACGCCTACATCAACACACACATAACTAGTGACTCCCTACCTTCTTTTCCGCTTTTGCTTCGTAGGACTTCACACTTGTGGAAACTCTCTTAGTTGTTTGCTTACTGGCACATTTTCTTCTCTCTGTAGTAGAACGTAAGCTCTGCATGAGCAGGGCTCTACTCTGTCTTGCTCTTTGATATTTTCCCAGCAGCAGAACTGGCCCTGGCACTCAAGAGATGCCCCAAAAAAAGTGAATCATTTGGTTTCAACGTTCTGCCTCAGAGGCCTGCGGCTCAGCATTTCAGGGCAAAGGCCTTGAAGCCGGACCACCTGGGTTCACCAGCTCCCTCACCTCCTACCTGCATAAACTTGCACAAGTGGTTGAACTTACTTGTGCACCAGTGTCCCTGTGTGCAAATGGGGAGGATCACAGCACCCACGGTATTGAGGAGTAGATGAGCTCACATGTGTAAAGGGCTTACAGAATGCTTGCCACAGAATAAGCACCCGACGCGTTTTCATTTATTTTATTCATTATTAATCGTTAGTTTAAATTCTTTTTTTTTTTTTTTAATTTTTTTTTTTCAACGTTTATTTATTTTGGGGACAGAGAGAGACAGAGCATGAACGGGGGAGGGGCAGAGAGAGAGGGAGACACAGAATCGGAAACAGGCTCCAGGCTCCGAGCCATCAGCCCAGAGCCTGACGCGGGGCTCGAACTCACGGACCGCGAGATCGTGACCTGGCTGAAGTCGGACGCCCAACCGACTGCGCCACCCAGGCGCCCCTTTATGAACGGGGGAGGGGCAGAGACAGAGGGAGACACAGAAGCGGAAGCAGGCTTCAGGCTCTGAGCCATCAGCCCAGAGCCCGACGCGGGGCTCGAACTCACGGACCGCGAGATCGTGACCTGGCTGAAGTCGGACGCTCAACCGACTGCGCCACCCAGGCGCCCCGACGTTAGTTTAAATTCTTAAAACTCATCTTTCATTGGTCCCCCCTCTGTGTCTCCTCTTCTATTTTCATAGTTTTCTCAATTTCCCCTGTGCTCTGGGAGATCATCTGAAGTCTGTTTTCTGCATTTAGTAAACCCACTGTGTTCATCCTGACATTCAGTTTTTAGTTCAAGAGACACACTTTTTTTTATGTCTATTTATTTATTTTGAGAGAGAGAGAGAGAGAGGGAGAGGGGAAAGAGAGAAAGCACATACTGCGGAGGGGCAGGGAGAGAGGGAGAGAGAGAATCCCAACTGGCTCCTTGCGGTCAGCACAGAGCTCAATGCGGGACTCATTCCTATGACCTTGAGATCAGGACCTGGGCTGAAATCACAAGTCCGACGCTTAACCCACTGAGCCATCCAGGCGCCTGGAGCCACACTTTCAATCTCTCCCTCATCCTTCCTTATCTCAGATTACTCCATTTGCAGGTTCGCTGTTTCGAAGTTAATGATGTACTCTCTCTTTGAAGCTTACTGAAATATCCATCAGGTATGCCTACGTTTTCTTCTGTTCCTTGAGTAGGTCTTTTTCTAAGGTAGGTAGCTCCTCTAAATCTTCAGAGAAATGATAGATCACACTCTCTGCAACTGCAGAATATTTCTGATTTGTCCTTATGGAGCATCCTGGTTTGCCCAGAGTGAGGGGTTTCCCAGGACACGGGCTTTCGGTGGTAACACCACAAAAGTCCCAAACAAACTGGCCGAGTGGGTCACCCTACCTCCAGCTGTGGAAAGCATCAAGAAGGCTGCTCTGTTGTATTGGTACAGACATTCCTTCAACTCTTTCTTTTTTATTTATTTTCATATCTTATCTTTGTAAGTAACCTCTAGACCCAACACGGGGCTCAAACTCATGACTTCGAGATCAAGTCTCATGCTCTACCAACTGAGCCAGTCAGGCACCCCGCCTCCAAATCTTTCACAAAGGGAGGAAACCATTTTCTAGTATTTGCAACTGCTAATCCCTTCCAAGTAGCATTTAAGTCTGGGAAAGTCTGTCGGCAATAAAGGAAAAGAACCTCATTCAACCCAAAACTTCCTCCAGCAGCCACCCCGTCTCCTTCCTTCCGTTCATTACTTGAGGAGATCACCCTCACGATGGCCGCTCTCCTCTTACTCCTCAAACCACTTAGATATGGCTTCCATTTTCCAACCATCAGCTGAGCCCTCTCTTACCAACATTAACACGATGACATCCTCATCACTAAAATCCACCGAATGCTTCTCATTCCTTATCAGACTTGGCTTCTCTACACATTCTTCCCTACTGACTCCTCCCCTCTCAAAGCTCTTTCCACGGCCTCCGTGATCCCAGCCCCCTGGTTTCTCCCTGCTCTCTCACTATGCCTCCGTTTCTGATACAAGCTCTCTTCCACGGTGGTCGATGTTCCACAAACTCCGTTCTAGACTTTTCTCTTCTCCCTACACACCCAGTGACTTCATCTTCCACAGCTTCAAATACCATCAATGCTGATGACTTAGAGATCTTTATCTCCAGCCCAGAATTCTCACTGGGCTCAACCTGAATATCCAGTTCCTTACTACTTTCCATTAGGCTTCTCTGCAGACACTTCAATCTCAACAAGTCCCAAAGTGAACTCATCCTCTGCCCCGAGGCCCAATCCTGCCCTGCCTCCGGTGCCCTCCATCTTGGCCAGAGGAACCACCATCAATCAACTGCTTGGGTGAGAAACCCGAGCAGGCCTTATTCCTGACCCCTAACCTCTCCCTCACCACCAATATTTAACCAATCATCAAGTCCCATACATTCTACCTGCTATACTTTACCATCTGTCTGCCTCTTGGCTGTCTCCAGCCAATTCAGTCTCTGAATGGCCCCAGACTCACCTCTCCAGTAAACACATCTGATGTTGTTATCTCAGGGTTAAGGGTTTACAGGGCCCTCTATGACCTGGTTCCTACAGAACTCTCCAGCCTTTTTCCCCTAACATTCCCCTACCTGGCTCACTCCCATTACTTTTTCTGCTGTTTTCTTAGATGCCATTTCCCCAGAAAGCCTTCCTAGGCCTCTGAATGGGGTCAGGTACAATCGCGTGTGTTTCCTGAACATTGCTCTAATAGTATTTGTCACACCCATGGAAATGGCATGGAAGACTAGAACTCTCTGAAGACAGGAACTGTCTTGTTTGCTGATACATCTCTAGCACCTAGAATGGTGAACAGCAAGCAATCGTT